CCCCCAGTCACGTGACCATGTAGCCACGCCCACCCAGTCACATGGCCACTAGCCGCACCCACCAAGCCACGCCCACAGAACCAGTAGTAAAAAAACTTTTTTTAAGTTTTAAAAACAATTTTATTTACAAATTTAAAAACGTACAATTTCAAAAATACAGAAACAATAACAACACATATTTTTTTTAATATTTGTTGTTGAATTTGGTGAGTCCTAAAAATCATTATCGGCTAGTACTAGTCACATATTCACATCCTAAGCGCTACATAATTCACAATATACTCCATTTATTTTCACGTTGGATTATAACTACTCTTCTATTGCTAACACATTCATGTTTTTTTTAACTAATAAACACAAAAATATTATAAATAGCTAATACTGACAACAGTAGTAGCAAAGAAAAGAAGGTTTAAAACCTTTAATGGTTTCTATGTACTTAATATATGATGAATCGCTGATATAATTTTTTATCTTAGGTTCATTTCTAAGTTTCCCCTTTTATTGTCTACCCACTTATGCCATTTGTCCCATATCCGGTAATAATCTGTATCCTGCTTCCCATTAATTTTAAGCGTAAGCCTCTCCAGTTGGCCACACTTGTAAGTTTTCTGAATAGCAACATGTATTTTGTAAATTTGAATCCCACCATGGGGTTGAACCCGAAAGCCCTCCAAGGTTCCTTCCTGCTCTAGGACTCTACTCACCCTGAGGAGAGAAAGTTACACACTGTTGGGTGTTGGGGGTTGGCAGACTAGAGCAATGCTTCCTTCAACATTCTTTCCCCCCGTCTCCCGACAGTCCCTGAAAGCTTCCTTGGAGATGAAATGCAAATGTCACGGAGTGTCCGGTTCCTGTTCCATCAAGACTTGTTGGAAGGGCCTTCAAGACTTGAAGGACATCGCCCTGGACTTAAAAAACCGATACCTTTCGGCCACCAAGGTTGTCCACCGGCCCATGGGCAACCGCAAGCATCTGGTGCCCAAGGAACTGGACATCCGTCCAGTGAAGGAATCTGAGCTAGTTTACCTGCAAAGTTCTCCTGATTTTTGCATGAAGAATGAGAAAGTGGGCTCCTACGGGACGCAGGACAGGTAAGGAGTGTCCAGGTGTGAGCATGAGTGGCTCTTCTGAATTTTGGACCCCTTTGAGGGGGGTGGCTGTTTTTCATAGCTGAGGGAAAACGTCTTCTCTTGAGCCCAGTTTAAGGGTACAGGTAGCTTTTATTAACAGAATAAAAAAGTTGGAAGAGATCTTGGAGGTCATCTAGTCCAACCCCCTGCCCAAGCAGGAGACCCTACGCCATTTCTGGCAGATGGCAGTCCAGACTCTTCTTGAAAGCCTCCAATGATGACGCTCCCACAACTTCTGAAGGCAACTTCTGTTCCAGGGATTGATTGTTCTCACTGTCAGAAAGTTTCTCCTTATTTCCAGGTTGAATCTCTCCTTGTTCAGTTTCCATCCCTTATTCCTTGTCTGGCCTTTGGGTATCTTGGAAAATAGCTTGACCCCTTCCTCCTCTCTGTGTCAGCCCCTTAAATATTGGAAGACTGGTATCTTGTCTCTCCTGGTCCTTCTCTTCCCTAGACTAGCCAGGACCAGTTCCTGCAACTGTTTGTTGTATGTTTTAGTCTCCGGTCCCCTAATCCTCCTGGTTGCTCTTCTCTGCATTTTTTCTAGAGCCTCAACATCTTTTTTATAGTGTGGTGATCAAAACTGGATGTAGTTGTACTCTAGGTGTGGTCTTACTGAGGCTTTATAGAGTGGTATTAGTACCTCCCTTGATCTTGATTGTATCCCTCTGTTAATGCAACTTAGGATTGCATTATTATTTTTTTGGCGGCGGCTGCTGCACACGGCTGTCTCCTATTTAGGTGGTTGTCCACTAAGACTCCAAGATCCCTCTCCCAGTTCCTGCTATTGAGCCTGGTTTCACCCAGTCTATGTGTTGTGTGTACTTTTGGTTTTTCTTGCCTAAATGTAAGACTTTAACTGAGCTCAGAATTATATATTTGTACGTTGTGTTGATCTTTAGCCAGTCATCACAGAACTGGCCTCGTTTTACATCATTTTTTAAAGTGATATTGATATAAAATAATTACTATAAAATAAGACAGACAGACGATGATAGATAGATAGATAGATAGATAGATAGATAGATAGATAGATAGATAGATAGATAGATTAGATAGATAGATAGATAGATGATAGATAGATAGATAGATAGATAGATAGATAGATAGATAGATAAGATAGATAGATAGGATAGATAGATAGATTAGATAGATAGATAGATAGATAGATAGATAGATTAGATAGATGATAGATAGATAGATAGATAGATAGATAGATAGATAAGATAGATAAGATAGATAGATAGATAGATAAGATAGATAGATAGATTAGATAGATAGATAGATAGATAGATAGATAAGATAGATAGATAGATTAGATAGATGATAGATAGATAGATAGATAGATAGATAGATAGATAGATAGATGATAGATAGATAGATAGATAGATAGATAGATAGATAGATAGATAGGATGAAACTTAGGAGGGATCAGTCCTGGAACTTTTGCAACTGCGCAATGATGTGAGGCTAATTCCCCACTTAACTCCTCCTCCCTGCCTGCCTGAACATTTCCCAACCAGTACCATTCCATCATCCCCACCAAGCAGGTTCACTGAATGGCATTGATGGGAGCTGGCATCCAGCACATTTGGAGGGCAGCTGCCCAGAGTTGATGCACAGATAGGATTATGTCCTGATGTTCAGTTTCCCCAACCAATCCTGCAAGTTGCCTTCGTATTTTGCTTTTCACAAGTAAGGTTTTTGTTCTGTTTTAGACAAACGTTCCTTGTCTTTGGCCAAACAAAAGTCTTACAATTGGAGCAGTCCCGTAGTGAATAGGCAGGGGTCCAGCTATCCTGGAAGGGGTCCAGCAGAACAGTTTTACATCTGAGGCACTTTGGATTCAGACTTTCCGAGATCTCTCAATGCAGATTTATTTGTTTTGAATATCTGGTCTCTGGGTGAAATTCCCTTCTAGAAAATGAGGCTTTGTAGAGTTGTTGGCTTGGATCTGAGCCTTCCTCAATTAGGCTGGTCTGTTGGCAGTTGGAGGTTGCACCAAGGAAGTATCTTTCCAGTCCCTTTGAAGTAGGTGTTGTGGTTTGCCGGCAACCAGTGCAGACGGCAGCAGAATCGGACAGTGGGGAAGAATGGGGACCAGTCCAGGAGTCTGGGGAGGACTCAGACGAGGGTCCCGTGTCTGATGCAGAGAAAGAGAGCAATGTGAGTTGCCTGGCTTACGGGGGAGGAAAAGGCCCTGATTCCTTTCATTAGTTACACCTGGTAATGAGAGTTTAAAAGAGTGTGGCATCTGCTGGGAACAAATGTGAGTTTTTCTTGTGTTGGCTTTGGTTATCTGTGTTCCTGGCATCCTCCCAACCGTGTTGAGTTATTGCCGTTCCTTCACATCTGGAATTCTTGCTCCTGCCCTGCCGGATAAATTACCTCATCTTGCCTTGATTGGACTTATAGTTACAGTTTTTGTTGACCATGTTTTGGACTTGATTCTCTGCAGCCCAAGGCTGTTCTTGGGAGAGTTTTTCTCCAGCCCAGAAGGTAACCAGGACACTGAGGGCAAAGTTGGAGCTAATAAAGGGACTTATTGATTATCTGACTGTGTTGCCTTTGTGCCACGCCCCTTTGGGTCATCACAGGTAATCCTGAGTTACGACCACAAATTATCTCCAAAATTTCTGATGCTCCACGAGACGGTTGTGAAGTGAGCTTTGCCCCACGTTGCAACCATTCTTGCCACTGTCGTTAAGTGGATCACAGCAGTGGTTAAGTTAGTTGCACGGTTGTTGAATGGGTACAATAAGCAATCAAATCCTACTAGGAAACAGTCCATATAAATCGTTAGGATACAAGCGACAAAGTTACAGTCATACAGTCACAAGTGGGAGGGGATGGGTGATAAGGAGTGATGAGAAGATTAACAGTAATAGTAGTGCAGACTTTGTAAATAGTTGGACAGTGTTGAGGGAATTATTTGTTTAGCAGTTATGGCATTGGGGGAAAAACTGTCCTTGTGTCTAGTTGTTCTGGTGTGCAGGGCTCTATAGCGTCGTTTTGAGGGAAGGAGTTGAAACAGTTTATGTCCAGGATGTGAGGGGTCTGTAGATATTTTCACAGCCCTCTTTTTGACTCGTGCAGGATGCAGGTCCTCCATGGAAGGCAGGTTGGTAGCCATTGTTTTTTCTGCAGTCCTGATTCCTCTCTGGAGTCTGTGTCCGTCCTGTTGGGTTGCAGAACCAAACCAGACAGTGATAGAGGCGCAGATGACAGACTCCGTCATTCCTCTGTAGAACTGGATCAGCAGCTCCTTGGGCCATTAAAAATGTATCTTAAATAGAAAACTATCCATAGATAGATTTTTACTCCAAACGCGTTTTGTTAAAATAAGTTTGATAAAAGTAAAGTAAAAAGTCTGATTTAAATTTTTTAAAAATCTGATTTTTTTTATTTTTTATTTAAAGAAAATCATTGATTTTTATCCACCCTGGTCTATTGGAACTAATTTATCTTGGGACCCAAAGATGCTTTCCTCCCCAAAAAAGCAACTGGACTTTTTGGCTTTTTTTTCCTTAAAATCATTTCACTTCTCACGACAAGTGAAAAGTTTTCAAGGAAAAAAACAACAACGAGAAACTCCAGTTGCCTTTTGTAAAACACTTTTGGGACAACCACAATTTGGATGATCGAGAATCTCCATAGACCTTTCTTCTGGGACCAATGGCCGTGTTGGGTTTGACTAGGACTTGGATGGGAGACCACAGGGAAATCCCACAGTGTAGACAGAGCTGGGCAGTCAAAATCCCAGAATAAAACCACATTGGTGCTTTTTGTCCAGGAAAAAAATACATGGATTTTGATTTTTTTTTTTTAATCATGCAAGCCATATACATGGAGTTTGCAAAATAAATTTAGAGTACATCATGCACAGGACAAAAAGAACTCAGTGCAAGCAGAGTAATGGCCTAGAGACTTTGCATTAATGTAAATTGATTTAGTTTGATAGAATTTAATTTGCAAATGCGAGGCGGAGAAATGGACAGCACAGTCCTATGTGTGTTTATGGGGTGGTCTTCGATTACATAATGATTTCAAATGAGGCTTACAGAGTCCAGAATTTATTCTGAGAATGGATTACATCCATGTCGCAAAGTGATGTAGATAGGGGTCAGGCTGGATTTGAATGCAGACCAGAAATATCTGACTTGATAAACCATTTTTTTTTTTTTTCTCCCGGCCAAATAACTTCGTGTAAAGTATAAGCAAGCTTTACTTGAAGCAAAGGAAGAGAAAAAGTGTGAGGGTGTGCAAAATATATATGTTCACACTTTCCAGATATAAAAACGCACATGTGGATATTTTCCAACTGGATTAATCAATCCCTCAGGCACTTTCAATATTTTGTGCTATTAAAGTGTCCACTTTCCTAAAATGTTGACTTGGCTGTTAATAGGCCTGTTTGGCTGAAAGAATCCTTATGTAATTCCAAACTGTTCTGAGCTGTTTTTCCATCCTCTTTCCCTTCTGTATGGCCTTGCCGTGATCTCTCTTCGCCTTCCTCCTTTCCTTCTCTTATTTCCTATTTTTATTTATTTTCTTATTGGTATCCTGCCTTTACTGTTTTTACAAATGGCTCGAGGTGGCAAGCGCACACAATATTCTTTCTCTCACTGATTTTCCCGCCAATAATAACCGTATGTGGTGGGTTGGACTGAGAGAGGATCCAAAGTTACCAAGCCAGTTTTCGTGCCTATGGTGGGACTAGAACTCACCGTCTCCTGGTGATTGGGCCAAAGTCACCCACTTGGCTTTCATGGCTAAAGCAGAACTAGAATTCACCATCTGTTGGTTTTTAGCCTGGTGCCTTCACTGCTCCCTCCCTCCCTCCCTTTCCATTTCCATCGCCTTCCTCCCTTCCTCTTTTTCCATTCCAATTTCCTTCCTTCCCTCCCTTTCCATTCCCATCTCCTTCCTTCCTTCCTTCCTTCCTTCCTTCCTTCCTTCCT